GCAGGCTGTTGCTATTTCTCTTGTGTCCACTGTACCTAGACAGTAAGACCCTATTGATGAAGACACAACACACTTGTTGGAGGACATAGAGAAATCAAGCTGGAGCTGACCTGAAAACTGCCTCCCTTGCTAGCTAACTTTCATAGTGCTCGAAGGTGCTGTGCAGGCTGTGGGGGAAGAAAAGTCATCAGTGGACTTACCTAGTGGTGAATCTGAATGCTACAATACTGCTTTGCTAGGTAAGATGTGCCCACGGGTAAAATAGTGGCATGAAGGTTATGGGGGTAACCAAGTACTTTCTGTTGGATTTGAGACCTGCTCAATGGGAATTCATGCTGGGACTAGAAACCTGGTCAGAAGCCCATGGCTAGGGAGATCATACATAGGTCCTATGGGAGCCTACTACTGTTATTTTGCTAAATGCTCACGATGTCACACTGCCTTCTGAATATTTGTTTATATTCATAGATTAGTGCTGCTTTCAGCCCTTCCTTTTGCAGTGGGCAGCAGTTAATGCAGAGACTCATAACTGGTGGAAATAAGCTGAGAATAAGGTTCAGCCTTAAATGGGACATCTATATCAACAACCCCCCCACCCCTACTTCTGCCTGCCAAGACTCTGGGAACATCAGGAGGAGTGTTGAAAAAATGCTGCCTTCTGGACATGGTATGGCTGTTGGATTCACAAACTCTCAGTTATGGTGACCTGCACAAGAGCAAGCCAAGATCAGTCAACATTCCAGTGGGCAGCAGTAATCGGACTCCATGTGTTAAAAGGGAGAAAGAACACGAAAGCAGGAGGCGGACATCTGGGGGGTGTTCAGGATGAGTCAGAGAAGGAGTTGAGGGTATATGTGATCAAGATACATTGTATGCATGTATAAAATTATCAGAATAGCTGGGCGTGGTGGCGCATGCCTTTAATCTCAGCACTTGGGAGGCAGAAGCAGGTGGCCAGCCTAGTCTACATAGTGAGTTCCAGGACAGCTGGGGCTACAAGGAGACCCTCTTTCAAAAAGACAAAAAAAAATTGTCAGAATAAATAAAAGATATTCTTTTTAAAAATCTTCCTTGCATGGCTAGGTTCATTGGAATTTCAAAATTGTTCAAGATCTGAAAACAAACCCTAGCAAGGTGGCATACATCTCTAATTCCAGTATGAGGCTGGAGTTTGAGGCCAGCCTTGGCTACAGAATGAGACCATCTCATGAGAGAGAAAACAAACAAAACTCTATAGACAGTTCAAACACACTAGAGTAGGTGGTTTTTAAGATCCCCATCTCCACATTTTATGATTCTTGGATAACCAGTTTGAACTTATGAAGAGAATCACAAAGGGTATGCCAGAGTTTAAGAGCCTTAAGAAACAGCACTTGTAAGAAATATTGGAAAGTGTGATGGCTAATTTCTTATGTAAGCATGGGTAAGTTAGATGCATGTTGCTGTGGAAAGTATTTTTGTTTAGACATGACTGACATTTAAATCAGTGTCCCTAGGTAAAGCAGATTCCCCTCAAAGTGTAAGCCTCATCCAGTTAGTTGGAAGCCTTAAAGGCAAGGATAGGCCTCCCCAAGGAGGACTTCTTAAAACTGTAACATAAGGGCATGCCTTAGTTTCTAGCCTGCTCACCTGCCCTACAAATTTCTAAGGCCTACTGGGCCCTACAATCATATGTACCAAATTTCTTTTTTTGGTCTTTTTGAGACAGAGTTTCCTGGTAGACCCAGCTGGCCTAGAACTCTCTATGTAGACCAGGCTGGCCTTGGACTCACAGAGATCCACCTTTCTCTGCCTCTCCAGTGCTGGGATTAAAGGCATGCAGTACTGCCTGGCCATGTAGCAAATTTTTAAAAAACTCTTTCTCCCTTGGGACTCCAGAGATAGCTCAGTTGGTAAAGTGCTTGCTTCCCAAGCACGAAGACCTGAGTTTGATCCCCAGCACACAGGTTAAAAGTCCACAGATAATCCCAGGATTGAGGCAGCAGAGACTGGAGGATCCCTGGGGTTCCATGGCAACGATCCAAGCTTAATAAGGGTCCCAATGAGAGACTCTAGCTCAAAAAACAAAGTTGTATTATTCCTGCAAAAAGACATCTGCGGTTGACCTCAGATCAACAACAACAACAACAACACACACACACACACACACACACACACACACACACACACACACACACACAATCTCTTTCCCTCTCAGTATTGGTTCTATTTCTCAGGAGAACCAGGAACAGTATCAGTCTATTAGTCATTTATTTCAAATTACAGCCCTGGGAATTCAGACATATATACTCCTGACCAAATAGTAATGGTGAGGGCAGACCTGAGGCCATTTGGAACAAATGAGTATTGTTGCAAGGGGACAGACTACAAAGAAAAAGGGAAGCAAGCGAACACACAAAACTAACCTACCCAGAATTTAAGCATCAAGTTCTAAGCCCAAACCCCAGTTTGGGCAGAATTGGGGAATTCAAGTAGGCTAACAGGATAATATGAACAAAAAAATAAGTAGGCCTTTAACCTGACAACACCACAAAAAGCATATTACTTTGGTTATTTTATTAAATGCTACACGTCCTGGTTTTATATGCAGCAGGGAGAAGGCACCCCTGTGACTCCCAGATTCTCCCAAACAGCAACCGCTGGTGTGTGATGGAAACGACCCTAGCTCCCTCCCTTCTCTCCCAGTTGGCAAAGGTCTGAAGCTGTGTCGTATTTCACGCGGATGTATCCATTGATGTGCTTTATACTACAAAGTTTACCAGCTTTTCCCGGGAGTGGTCATGCGGAGTTAAAAATTTTTCATGTTACTTTATTTTCTTTAACAGAAACTCCTGAAAAACAACCAGGTTAGAAGAGAGCAGAGTTTCAAGTTAACGTGGTCAGGATCTTAAGGCGCCGAAACCTCTCCCGCAGGTTTCCAAGTGGCGCCCTGCCATGACGTTATGGCACTAGGGACCGGACTGACTCGCCAGGAGGGGAGGGGCCTTGCGAAGGAGGAGTGGGGTCTGACGCTGGCGAGGGGCGTGGTCTTACGGGCTGGGCAGGGCCCTATGATGTAGAGGGGCGTGGTCTCGCTGGGAGGGGCGGGGCCTGGCGAAGGGGCGGGGTCGGGTACCTGGAGGGCTAGACGAGGCTGGCTGCCGGGCCCGCGCGCTCAGCCCGGGCTCTACAGTTTATAGGGCAGTGCTGGCCCGGCTGGGTAGGTGCTGCGCTCCTGGTCAGGATGTCGGAGCTGCCGGCTGGTCTGGAGCAGCAGCGCGCAGAGCTCAGCGCACAGGCCTCTTCTCCTCGCTTCGTGCTGGGGGTGGACGTGGGCAGCACCTTGATCCGCTGCCACGTCTATGACCGGACGTCGCGGATCCTCGGCTCCAGCACGCAGAAGGTGACCGGGAAGCGGCGCGGGCGGGTCTGGGTCTCCGCCGGCAGCCGGGGTCTGCGGGTCCCGGTCCTCAGCGGCAGCGGCCGCGGCGGCGGCACCCGGCCCGGGCGGGCTGCACCCTGCGTCCTTCCTGCAAGGCGGAAGGCGCGCCGGCCGGGCCGGGATGAGCCGACGCCTCCTGCTCGCTTCCTGTCCCCGGGCACCCGTTGTAGTCTCACCTGGTGGAACCGAGGTGACTCCGGGGCAGCGCGGGACCGGCTGAGTGTAAGCAGCCACAAAGGTGGTTCCTGACTTGCTAGGTTTTGATTGCACTTCCTTCATCGATCTCCACCTCCGTCTTTACACATTTTAATTCTCCGTCTTGATGGAATGTAAGTTTATTATGTTTTTCGGTTGTCATCTTTTATCATCTGTTTCTGAAAGTGTTCCTCCTCACACGAGCATCTGATTTCCATGGATATTGGACAAGTTTTGAAAGCTTCATTGCCTTTACTTGTCTTTCCGTCTTTGAGTAGTCATAAAAATATTCTTTTCTGGCTTGAGAAGCCCACCGAGTTGGTCTCTGCTAGGAAAGCCTCGAGCTTCCAATGATACTGGGCAACAGCCAATACCAATTTTTAGTGAAGCGATGACTTCTATACAATTGTCAATGCAGCAACAATAATGTTGATTCAGAATAGTGTTCTTATTTACACCTTTCTATACCAGCATTTTTAATGTTTGAAGTGTGAGGATGAGAGCCATCAGTTATCTAATCCATTCCCTGCAGTACTGGGAGCCCCCATTTTCCCAGCGTGCAATCCTTCATCCTGCTTGGCTCCGGTGGGTGTTTTACTTCTCAACAATTGTCCAGAAACCCATCAAGCTAGGAAACAGACTCTTCATTCAGGATTCTGCACTAGATGAGCTGGGACTGCAGCCTCTCCCACTCTGGCTGGCTGTGCAGGAACACTGCCCACCCACTCTGTCCCTGCCAACCTCAGAGGACAGGTAAAAGACAGGCACTGTGCTCCTGGTCTTATTACAAGTCTTTTCACAAACACAATGATACCTTTTAGTTTCCTTTATCATTCTGGACACAAAGTACTCTTGTTTAAGCAGTATAATTTTTTTTTTTTTTAAAGACTAATTGGATTTTTTTTTTAAGGGTAATTGGATCAAAAAGGAGAAAGAAATTGTTAGAGGGCTAGAGGTAGGCTCAGCAGGTAAAGGCCTCTGTGCCTGACAGTACCTGGGACATGGTGGAAGGAGAGAACCAGCTCCTACAAATTGTCCTCTGACCTCCAGTGTGCACCATGGCATGGGTGTACCCCCCCCAAAATACAAATTTTAAGGAATTTTGGCTTTTTTTGAAATAAGGTTTCCCTGTAGACTCATCTGGACTAGAATTTGCTGTGTAGACTGGGCTGGCCTGGATCTCACAGAGCTCTGCTCACCTCTGCCTTCCCAGTGCTGGGGTTAAAGGTGTGTATTTTGTATTTTTGCCTTCAGCATTTATAATTTGTTTTTTGTTTTTTGTTTTTTGTTTTTTTTTTGAAACACAGTCTCCCTGTAGCCCCAGGCTGGCCTTTAACCCACAGAGATCCACCTGCCTCTGCCTCCTGAGTGCTGGGAATAATTTGTATTTTTAAAACCTTTCTTGGAGTCAGTGAGATGACTCAGTAGGTAAGGGTGTTTGGTGCCAAGACTTATGACCTGAGTTCGATCTCTGGGACACTCTTGGTGGAAGGAGAGAATCAATTCCCACAATCTGTCCTCTGACATACACACATGTGCTAGCACATGCACACCAACATATACATGCAAATAAGTATTTTATTTTATTTTTAAGGAGCCAAGGGATTCTTTTTTTTTTTTTTTTTTTTTTTTTTTTACAATGCCTGCGAAGGTCAGAAGAGGGTGTCAGATCCCCTGGGACTGGAATTAAGGACCAGCCATGTGGGTGCTGGGAACCAAACCCAGATCCTCTGCAAGAGCAGCCAGTGTTCTTAACCACTGAGCCATCTCACAAATAAATACTTTAAAAGACTGTCTTATAAACCCTTAAGTATTGGTGTAAAATACTTGAACAACATTCCATATTGGAAACTCATTTGCATATTTGCTACTTCATTTTGAAATGTGGAGAAAACTTACTGTGTTCCCCTGTGGTACATCATGATGCTGTGAAAACCCGTAAAATGTCATGGTTGGACAAGCAGGACGGAATGTCCACATCACAGAACAGCGAGGTATTGGAGACCGGGTTGCTGTGTTCACTTGAAAAGCTGACTCTACTTTTCCTTTTTCTTTTTTGGTCTTTTTTGAGACAGGGTCTTCCTGTAGCCCCAGCTGGCCTAGAACTCTCTATGTAGAACAGACTGGCCTTGAACTCACAGAGATCTGCCTGCCTCTGTCTTCTGAGTGCTGGGGTTAAAGACATGCACCATCATACCCAGCTTAAAAATATTTTATTATTTTAATTTTATGTGTCTGAGTGTTTTGCTTGCATGTATGTAAGTGTACCTGTGTTGTACAGTGCCTGTGGAGGCCAGAAGAGGATGTCAGATCCCCTGGAACTGGATTTATGGATGGTTGTTAGCTACCATGTGGATGCGGGGAACTGAACCCAAGTCCTCTGTAAGAGCAGCCAGTGCTCTTAACTGAGAGCCCAGATATTTTCTTCTTAATGTTCACTGTGTTTTCTAGCTGGCTTGGTCCTCTTCTGTAGAGCATACATTTCATACATGTTCCCATGTTTAGAGATTCTTGGGGTTTAGTTATGGTTTGAATTTGTTCTCAGGAATTCATGTGTTGGAAGCCTGGCTGTCAGTGTGGTGCTTTGGATAGGGGAACTTTTAGGTGAATCCTAGGGAGAAATCATGAGATGACTAGGGGAGCTGTTCTCACGGGAATTAAGATGGTTCCCTGCTTAGTTCTCAATAGAGGGCTGTTGGGAGACTGCTGCCTTCCCACTGTCTGGCTTCCGGTGTCACCATGGGGTTCCTCCTCCTCTTCCTCCTCCCTCACATTCCTCCTTCTCCTTCCTCTAACCCTTTTCCTCTTCATCCCCCTGCTCCTCCCCTTTGCACTTCTCTTCCTTCTCCATCGCTCCTTTTCTGCCTTCCTCTCCTCCTTTCCCCGCTTCCTTCCCCTTCCTCTTTTTTCCTGTTCACTCTCTCCCTTCATGCTTATCTTCCCCTTCCTCCCTGCTCCCTTACTTTTGCTGACTTCAAACTTAGGGCAATACTCCTGCCCAAGACTTCCAAGTGCCTGGATTACAGGGTGTGCCCCCCTCTTCAAGGTCCTGCCACCGTGTTGTCCCTACCCACTATGACAAGATGCAGCCAAGGGAGCCCTTGCTGAACCCAGAGGGCTGCCTGATCTTAGACTTTCAGCTTCCAAAATGGAACTTGCAAAGACCTCTTTTCCTTGTGGTCGCCTAGCCTTAGGCGTTGTTATAGCAACTGCAAATGGACTCCCAGTGCAGGCATGGCTTGAGCTCTCCATACTGGTGCATTTGATGGAGGTGATCCTGGAGTCCACCATTAAGTCTAAAGGTTTGTAGGCTTGAAACGTGATGTTTTATCAAGATGAGGAAGTGTTTGTTTCAGTTGCAACATTACAATTTGTAGTTAGGAAAGTCTGGCGGACGAGATTGGGTGCATTCAGGGTGGTATGACTGTAGACAACATCTAAGTGTTATTAGCAAAAACAATGAGTCTTTCTGTAAGAAACAGTATATTTTAAAATGAAATGGAGATCTTTTTTAAAGGTTAAAAACTCATTCAATTTTATGTCTTATAGGGTTTATACTGACTTCAATATTGTATAACAGTATTAATCTAACTGTGAGCCTAAAAATTTTATAGCCACTTGTGAAAGAGATGTATCTTTGCTCTGGAAATTGTTATTGAGCATATTAAAGCTGTAATGATATACTTCTTCTAAAAAAAATAAAAAATAATATTGGGGCTGGAGAGATGGCTCAGCAGTTAAGAGCACTGACTGTCCTTGCAGAGGACCCGGGTTCGATTCCCAGCACTTATATGGCGGCTATAAACCGTTCTTAACTCCAGTTCCAGGGGAATCCGAAGCT